AGAGAGAATTGACTTGCCTTTGAAGTCCTTCGACGAAGTAGAGGTAGCAAAACGATCCATGGGAAACAACAAGGTATTGCAGTTCTTCTTCTTCTCCTCTCAAATCCACTGCCATTTCGTTTCAAGATGGCCTAATAAGGTCAAGAATAATTTGTTATTAGACATCTTAAGAAAGATGCAGTAAGGCCATCGGTCCCTAGACCTGCCTGAATCATATCTAAATGTCTAGTACTGAGGTGTTGAACCAGAATGAAGTCAGTTTTCAGGCTGACTATCGCCCCTTTGTAAATGATAAACAATTTTGGGAAGGGAGGGAAATGTGTCACAGTGGATAGACAATGATTACTTTGCCTCTAATAATAACATGGTAGATAATTTACCTGTCATTGCCCAAATTGTAAGGAATGGTTGGGGCGGGTAAGACCAACCCTTTCTCAAGCTAGTTTTTATCAAAACATGATTGAGGTGGTGAAAAGAACTTTGTGAAGCAAAGAGAAGTGGATTTGTGTCTTCTGAATGATTTCAAAGTTGGAATAGCTATTGAAATCGAGAATGGTTGAGTTGTCTCACTGGGAAATAAGTCGTGAAACAGCAAAAATGTTCAATGGATATAGTGAAAAAAAGCTTGGAGAAAAACTAAATGGAAAAAAAGTATTTGCTCGACTAGACATGTGGTGGAATGAAAATCAAGACAAAATGGTCGGCAATAGAGAATTCTTTGCTAGGGAAAATTGTGGTTCCAAGGAGTAAAATTATAGCTACAACCCGTAGTTTAGGATTGGTATCAACCCATGAGACGTCTCCCTCTCACTCATCATTTTGAACCAACATCAGAAAAATGAATTGGACATGTTTTAGGAAAAAGAAGCGATTTCCTAATGGAGGACCAACAGAGAACACAGAACGTTTGTGGACATTGGTGGGAAAAGGTGAAAAAGTTAAGGGTGTGCCAGATTGGCAATAAAAACACTAGGAGGTTTAATGTAACTTCTAAAAAAATAAGATGAAATGGGTGGTCCATCGAAAACAGTGAAATATGGAGTTCACCTGAATAAAAAATCGGAATCCAACAATATTAAGGCTAAGTTTTGATCAACTTACCATCACATTGAAACACTGTTTTTGCATATTGTTCTATTTTCCAAAAGATTTAACATTTCACAGGAATGAGTTCATTCAATTTGCGATGGTCAAGGATATCTTCAAGCCTTCTCGGGAAACCAATTTGAAAATGGAAGATGTTGTAATGAAATTATTTTAATATTTTGGTTGCACAATTCTTTGTTCAAGAAATGTAAATGGTGGAGTACAATAATATTACTGTTGCAAAAGCAGATCCTGTGCAATGATCTGGCAATAAATGTCTTCAGAGGGTAAAGTGTTTGACTTTGAACTTTCGACTTCTAACGCTAGTGAGGTGAATTTAATAACATTCTGAGCTTCAACCATTTGGTCATTGGATTTAATGGGAAGAACAAGTTTCGAAATTCCAAAAAGAAAATGTTGGAAAACTAGGACACTATTTTTAAACTGGAAAACTTCCTATAAACATTGCAAAAGTTTGAGTGTTAATACGTCCCTGAGTTTGGAACGATATGATATGAAAGAGTTGCCAACGTCCATTCCGTATGTTCCAATGACATTTGAGGTATCTTGACCACTCATGTAAAAATTAAAACCTACCTAGTTTTTATGCACCAAGCTTACAATTTGGCAACCTTGAGAAACTTCCCATTCTTTTAAACATTTTGCAATGCTTTCCATAAGAAATTTGTAAGTTTGTTAGCTTGAGACATTTTGTATATTGATGTGATTTGATGTGGAAGAGAATAGGAATTGAATGCAATGATGATAGGGAAGTTGATCTGCTTGCAACATACCATAACTTTGTGTGGGTGAGGATAAGGGCCATAAAAATTGAATGAGCTTGGGTAG